AAATTCGCCAATTGCATTTAAAACTAGATTAAATATATACTGAACCGCTGTCACTTATTTGGTTGTTGCATTGGATGAATAACACCCTTTAAATCAAGGAAATATATTTACGTTACCATAGCAACCATTTACATTGAGTTACGACAACCAATGTATTGTTCTGCTGCGGCGTGAAATTCGACAGCGACGGAATTTGTATGAGAAGTGAACACAGGTTCGCGTATGCTACGTAAATGCTCGACCCAAATGTATACGTGAAAGGTTCACTTTTCACACCCCGCCGTGAATTCATCAAATTGTAAATTATATGTAGATACTAGCTCTATTTTGTAACTGACCGCTCTAGCAGCCTGACCCAATTTCACTGATGTTATTACAAGGCAAATAGAGTCAATATAGCACCAGAATAATGACCAGCCACTGTGTTTTAAAAGAAAAACATTGCAACATATATTTCGTGTTTCATTTCCTAACTATTTATTCGCATAGTGGTTTTGTAATGGTGTAAAATACGCTTCTCCCCGGCATTCATCGTTCACTGCCAGCAAGTAACCACAAGTGTACACACGCCATTAAACAAAGCTTTCGTCTACTGTGGCACATACGCAACATTCACTTCCTCGTAATAATCATGAGATTTATAACACTAGCTATTCAACAAATGGCGACACCTACTGAACCACACCATAGTCGTAGTAATCGAGCTGTAGTTTTTCTATTCTTCTTTCTATTTAGCGTATTTACCGCTGTCATATGTGTAGCTGCGGTCAGAAATCACACCTACCTGTGGTTGGTAAAACTGGGGTGAGAATCCATACTGTGGCGCCGGTGGTTGGCCGTACGTGGACGGATGAACTTGCGTCATGACAATAAATATTTTGTTCACTTTTATCGTAATCACAGCATCCTATAATCCATTTTTAGATTCACAGTGGTGTCCACAATACGATCACATAGTCGCGGCGCTACGCAGATAGATTGATTTGCTAGTGAATAGCAGCAGGAAACCGACACGTTCCAGTCTAATTGACATGACAAAATGACGCATACTCGTGTTACTCACGAAAAACAAACTGTGTGTCAACGACTGCTTTTATAATCTGAGTGATTTAATTTTATTGGTGACGTCAGTCCGCGTTGGTAAAGTCGTAACTCACCAATGATGCGCACAAAGGGGGAGGAAGACTGAGTGTGCAACGATATTTTATACTATAACAACCATAACGATCACATTTTTATTAATTGAGGCGATTATTACGACGAAACACACATTCGGCGCAGTAACGTTACCGTCTATTTAACCACAGTCTCTATCAAAGGGACTGTGATTTAACCGAATACGGGCAGCGACAGGCATTGTATGGCACGATGCAAACGAGTCTATATAGTAAATATTGCATGAACGCTCAATATTGATTGTGTTTTGATGTTTTGATACCGACACGGCATTATTAATATCATGTACGCTGGGAATGTTTCTATGTAATTTCCATATTTGTTTGACAATAAACACAATATTTACTTTATGTATATTTTATTACTACTCTCTCTCTGTGCAGACCATTAAACAAACAACGCATTCCAACAGACTGTAAACGCTAGGCAACAGGTAAACAGCGCAGGTCATAGGTCAATCACTTATTACTTGCCGCGACATTTGTATTAGACTCGCGTGTCTGAAGACAGTACACAAGGAGTTGCAGGAGTTTACTGTACATACAATGTGTAATTTCTGATCTTTTGTTTCTGAACTTCGAGAGGGAGTTTTTATGGGGAACTTTACAAGACTGACAGAAGAACAACACACTTTGTAGTATGTACCAATTCCCTCATTTTACTTGTAATTTTAAGAATTATTATATTTTAATGAATAACGCGAGTGATAACGACAGCCTGAATAATTAACATTATTTAATACCGAATGACTGCCTTTACTGAGCAAATGACAACATTTAGTAATTGAATGACAGTATTGAGTACCGAATGCCAAACTTTACTGACCAAATGACAACATTACATCAAGTATTGAGTAATTAATGATAGCCTTTTCTGACCAAATGACAACATTTAGTAATCGAATGACAGTATTGAATAATGAATGATAGTCTGACCAATTAACACTATTTAATACCGAATGACAGCTTTTACTGATCTAATGACAGCATTTAGTGACCGAATGACAGTATTGAATAATGAATGACAGTCTGACCAATTAACACTATTTAATACCAAATGACAGCATTTAGTGACCGAATGACAGTATTGAATAATGAATGATAGTCTGACCAATTAACACTATTTAATACCAAATGACAGCATTTACTGATCTAATGACAGCTTTTAATGACCGACTGACAGTATTGAATAATGAATGTCAGTCTGACCAATTAACACTATTTAATACCGAATGACAGCTTTTACTGATCTAATGACAGCATTTAAGTGACCGAATGACAGTATTGAATAATGAATGACAGTCTGACCAATTAACACTATTTAATACCAAATGACATCATTTAGTGACCGAATGACAGTATTGAATAATGAATGACAGTCTGACCAATTAACACTATTTAATACCGAATGACAGCTTTTACTGATCTAATGACAGCATTTAGTGACTGAATGACAGTATTGAATAATGAATGACAGTCTGACCAATTAACACTATTTAATACCGAATGACAGCTTTTACTGATCTAATGACAGCTTTTAATGACCGAATGACAGTATTGAATAATGAATGACAGTCTGACCAATTAACACTATTTAATACC